CTGGCCGAGCCCGAGAGAGTCCGAGTCCGGCCCCCGCTCCGCTCGGTCGTGCGTCCCGCTCTCTCCAGTGCTCGTGTCCGCTGCTTTCTTTTTCCGTCCTACTCGGTTCCCCCCGGCCCGACCGCCGCGATCGCTTCCGCGCGAACACCGAGAGCGAGCCGGTTCGAGCCGTTCACCTGTTGGTTCGTCGCGTATCGGCTTCGAAACTGTCGGCAACTCGCGACGCGTCGCCGTTGAAACTGCTTCGGGCAAACTTGTTTTCGAAAACGGGACGATAAAGCGTAGCGAGTCGGCGACAAATGGAACCAGATAACGCGCAAAGAATCGCGAGAGCGTATTCTTTTAATCCCGCTCAATGACTTTGGCCGCACGGATATTTACACGAACACGCGATACGCCGACACGTGGAACAAACAAACGGACGGACGGCAAAGGCGCAAACACTCCGAATCGCGTACTCGCCGGCACTCCCCGGAGGACTCTCGTGGGAAATTCCATCGAGCGCGTAACGGGAGACGGCTCGAGGAAGAGCTCTTCTTGTTGTCGCGCGATCGCGATATCGAAATAAACTAAACTACCGAAATACTCGTGCACGCCGAATATATCGAAGGGGATAAGCGGGTTCGAAACAGCTTGAAATTACGTACGATGCTCGTTTCCCTCGGCCAGCTCTGTCCATTGTCGCGACGGAGGTGTGGCGTCTTCTTCCGACGAGATACCAATTATTACGTACCCGGCGCTCTCGATTTCGACAAACGATACGGACGTGCCTAAGAAAACAACAAACGCGCACGCGGTTTACACGGTTCGCACGTCTCGCGCGCCGCGAATCGCGGCTCGATCAACATGTTTTTCTATCGGCGTGACATGTCAATAGCAGCCAACCGTACAACGCTCTCGATCCTATCTCTTCCGGCCGTCGAAAGAGCTCGAGAAATAAGTATTCGCAGAGACCAGTTAAAAACGTTACATGTTTATTTTTTACAGCTATGCAGTAGACGATACAAAATCACAATCGTAATCTATTCTTTGACGGTCCTGCTGCGTTATCCTCGTGTCCACGACCAACCCGGATCGACCGAGATCAATCGCGACTAACCACCTGTAGCGTGGAAGAAACTTTTCCACGGTTGCACGCCGATCGCGCACCGAATTCGCTTCGAACGCGGTGGCGTCGCGTGGAACAGCAACCATTGGAATGTCGTTGGTCGCGAACACCGAGCGCTTCCCAATGCCGATAAATTCGCTTAATAACGTGCAGTTACCTCGTTGCTCTCGGCAATAGCGATATTCACGATTGGTGCGGCCATATCGTCGTTCACAGCTCTTGGTGCTTTCTCGAATCCGTCGTAGCTTCTTCCGCGAAAATCTCTGAAACCGACAGAAAAATACCGATCAAATCGACCGACGCGCGACCACGATTCCGTCTCTGTAACGTGCGCGCGTGTATCTGTGTACCGTGCTCTTCTTCCTTCTCCGTTTGTCTGTTTTGGTTTTCCACTTTCTGTTGCAAAGCTTTTATCTCCTCGTCGTAGCCGACCCATTCCGGTAAAATACGCACCGCGGCTTGCAACTTGGCCTCCTTTGTCATCGGATTGTTACACTGCCGTCCGAAAACACACAAAGATGAATCAGTGGGCCGCGGCGAACAAACAACGCTGCTAGGATATCTCTACGCTTTACGACTCTATGCTGGCGTTTACCAAATCGATAGTCTTCGCGTATCTCTTGGACGCGTCGTCGCACCAAGTTTCGCACCACAACCACTCCTGCGGTAACGTCTTTATGGCCACTTGATGGATCATGTTATTGGGAAGATCCTGGAACGATACGGTATAAACGATACATACGATATTCTCGCCGCTGTTATCATCGTGATATTTTCGCTACGCGGTACGGACTTGATCGAGATTCGCCAAACTATTGGGATCTTGACTCAACGCTTGATACTGTCCCCTCAGTCTGTCACCGGCCGCGATGCGTCGAAATCTTTTCAAGTCCACCACGTACAACGCGCTGATGTGATAGGAGCGACCCTGCAAGTGATTTCGCCAATAGCCTTGCTTCCAGAACCTGAATCCGTCCATTTCTCGCCTACTGTCGCAGAACGGAGTGTACGCGTACGGCGCCCCTCCCAGATCCATCGTGGCGAGTTCTTTCAAATCTGCTCGCACCACCTAGTCGACCGAAAACGAGAAATCGTTTCAGTTCATAACTGAACAACAGAACAACAGAACAACAGAACAACACCTTTAACGGTCCACCGCTTTTATACCTGATCGGCGTCCACGAATATGATTTTCTTCACATTTAGGGGAAACAGTACATCCAGAAAGAGTATTTTGTATCCCCATATCGTTCTCTGCTTCTCGGTTTGTTGATGGAGCCAACGGGGCCACTTGTACTGAACGAGCTCGTACTCGAACCCGTACTCGTTTGCCATGTACGGCAAGAAATCCTAACGAACAACAATTCACTTTTGTTAGTCTCGGTTGAATTTCCTCCTCGCGTTTCCGTTGCGTTTCCGTTGCGTTTCCGTTGCGTTTCCGTTGCGTACCTTTAACGTCGGGGAAAGATAATTCTTTAGGAACCAAAATTTCACGGGAGTTTTCGTGTGCTTTATAACGCTCAGCATCATAATTTTCAGAAATCTTTCGTACAAATGACCCGACGCCAGCGAAAAGATGTTCAGCTTCTCATCTTGGTCCTCGCTGTCGTCCGTTGTCGTGAACGTCCTAATTTCGGAAAGTGAAATCAATGACAAGAAAGAAATTGCAATCGCACATGAAGCGGTAATTGGTAAATGTTGTCGGTTGTACGCGAGTCGGACGAATATTTATGGTTTCGAGGACACATTGTGCAACGCAATTTATGTAAACGTGAGAAGCTTACCAAAATTTGGAAAAGCTAAAAACAAACAGAGAGAAAAAGTAAATGTTAAGAGTTCGAGAAGGCAACCGAACGATGTGTCGGTAAAAGTATTCTTTAGTTTCGGTTAAACAGGCAAGTTAAAACTACGCGTTAGCCATCGCGCGATCTCTACAAGGTGAGTTGAAAGCAAACAGGGCCAGACTGCCGCGTACCTCGAAATCGAATTCCATAATCCGGAATTTTTGTCGTCCTCGGACAAGAGATCCATTCCAACCTTGTCCGGCTTTTTCGATACCTTCACTTTCAGTACGTGACTCCTCAACGAACTTATAACCACTCTAACGTTATTATCCTTCTGTATGACGTCTTGACCGCCAACAGTGGCGAAATCGTATATTTCCGACGATCGTCCTTGCCGAAGCCGAAGTATCCATTCGCCCGGATTAGCTTTCAGTTGAAAATAGCCCAGGTTCGCCATAACTATCGTGTCCACCATCAACGGTTGTCTTTCCGTTCCTAACGTAAACTGCAATCCGCGAGGCGGATTTCCCATTACCGCCTCGAAGCAATGCCCTTCGAGCAACAAATGTTCCAATTCGAATTCGCTGCAAGAAACAACAGCGCGCTGAGTATTCGTCTGTAGGTAGAGACGTGCGAGAGCTCGAACGTTGCGTTCACCTGTGCACTCCCATCGCGACGTTATCCAATTTGATATTATCCAGATCGTAAACGCTCCTGACTACTTCCACCAACCAATTTTCAGGCGCATGGATGTACTGCGTCAACAGAGAGGAAGTCGGTAGTTTCGTAAACTTTGCCATTGCTCCGTTGATATGACCATCGGCGGAAAATTGTAAATGCGGCTCGAACACGAACCGATAGAAACTAAAACGAAATGAACCTGCACAGACCGTAAAGGGAACATCGACGGAATGATCTACCTTTTCAATGGCATGTCGCTGTTCTTATCCAGGCAGTTCAGAAAGACTTTAACGTTGCAGTTGAGAGACTGTTGCAACGTTTTCAAAATAGGGCCCAATTTTTGAGCACCGCGAGACACCGGATCCACGATCGCGACTAAAGAGAATGCCGCTTGCTCTGGGTTCGCCGCTTGAATCTTAATGGAGCTGAATATCGTAAGAACCGATACGATACCGATTAGATGTACATGTTCACCCCTGTTCTCTTTCCGAAGAGAAATATTAACCGCGACGCGTGGCTCACCTGTGATCATCGCCGTGAAAGGGAACGTCGAATCGACTTCGCGTCTGAGGATGCGATACCAACAACGATGTGATTTTCATGATCATATCGTCCGTGATTTCGTTCTTTTCTGCGAAACAAAACAATTAGTGTAAATTAACGTAAGCGGTGGATTAGGCTGGATCGCTGTAACAGAGTTCAGTTTTCATACCATATTCGTCGTCCTCCAGTAATTGTTCTTTTATTAACTTTTTAAATAATTTATCACCGTAACTGGTCTGGCTAAACCTTTCCAACAGCGAGAAGTCTTCGTTCGAAAATTCCTCGTTGTCGTCGAATGGCCCGATTAGTCTTCCGTTGCACACAATTCCTCGAGCTCCTTTTTCTATGTTCAATACAGTTTTAACATAGCGTTGGTACATAGGAAATTCATCGATTTGCTTTCTCAATTGTTCCGTCACAGCTTCTTCCTAATTGTTCGTTTTGTTTTGTTTTTTCAAATTCCTTATAATTGTGGTAAACGAAAGGTTTGTTATCCTCATGCGAACCTTACCTCTATATTAAAATTTCCGGCGGTGATAACCTTAGCCGCATCTTCTTCGATCACTTTACGAATGAAATGCCTAGCCTTCTCTGTGGATAAACTATTTAAAGCGGCTAATGCTATTTTATTAATATCGACCGTGTCGTCCAGGTTATTCGCATCGGTCATAGGATTAACGATTACGGTGATTCTAACATCGGCGTTTGATTCCTAAATCGTATGAAAATATGCAACGTTGGTAATACTACTTTCACTCGATAGAAACTAGATAGAAGCTATCTTACTTACTATGTAATCGAGAGCCTCGCGTAGCAACAGTCTGCCGGCTGAACTGTTCAAGTCCGTTACCACCCAAAAGGTATACAAATGATGTATATTCGTGCGTCGCGGCACGTAAAGATAATGCGATTTGTTCATCAACCACGTCGAAAAGTCCTCGGGACTCCACTTGGAGTAATCCTCATCTTTGGGTACGGTGCCGATCAAGTTCAGCCACGTGTGCTTTTCCGCTTTCAATATTCGTTCGTTTAAACTGCGACAGAAAATCAGGGGCGTGTATAAAAGCAAGTTGCCGTCGAAAATCACGACGAATATCGAAAATGAAACGATGTCGTACCGCGGCATGACATTCGGCTGATTCATCATGTAATCGACGACATCGTCCCCTTCGGTTATCTCGCCCCGATACACCGCTTTCTGTAACGCGGGTGTTTGCGATATGATGGTAGAGAGGACAGCCTCCTCGAACGAATCGGCGTTCAATTGGTCCGAGGATAAAGGTACTCCGTTCATCAGAGCTTGTGGAAATTTCTTAAAGCCGGATCGTTTCACGAAATCGCCAGCCAAGTGTCGTCCTATGTCGTACTCGGACTCCTCGCCGAGAATATAATTGATATCGGCCGACGAGTCCTGCGCTCTTATAGCTTTCTTTACGTCGTCTAGGTCTGCTCCATCAGGCCCAATGTAATTTCCCAGCTAAAATGAAAAGACGACCACCACACGAATCGTGAACGAATCGTGAACGAACCGTAAAACGGTACAACACTCGAACGTGAAAAGTTCTTACGTCTACTAGAAACTGGAGAGCCTGTTCCGATCCTTTCATCTCTGCAAAGTAATGGTACGCGTTGTTCACCGCGACGCTAGCATCCATTAAACCAGTGACTGTCGCGTCGTAATTCGTTACAAATACAAAACCCACGCGTAACGGTGCGGCATGGAGATGCAAGGATTGCGCTAAAGCTATTAGAGGAGTAGATTCGGCGCTTAATGGATCGATGATCAACACCTGTTCGAAAGTATCGAGTTCTATGTAATTTTATGTATCGGTCTTCCTTCGGTCGTTTACGAATCAGAGGCAATACGTGCGTACGAACCAAATTGTACAAATTTCTTCTAATATTTCGAAGCATCCCAGGAAAGGTTGGCCTCAATAATTCCGTTAGCGACGCTGACCACCTTGAATAAGTTGAATCTTGCTCGATATCGTTTATCCAAATTATAGCCGAATCCCTTATGTCCATTGCAAAATCTTGTTTGTCCATATTCATGGATAAATCCAACGATAGCAGTTTGCTCATCTTTGTATTGCTGAATCCTGCCAATGAAACATTCGGTTGGTCTAGAAATGTTTCTCCGCGAAATCGCATTAATCGAATTGTTGATACATGATCAATCGTACCGATCTTACGAAGAGATTCCATTACTCTGAGTTCGCTTCTCAGCGATTCCAAAAGACTGAGCACATCTACAGCTTCTAAATCAAAAAATAATCCATTCACGAAAAGTGCAGTGTCCGTGGGTTGAATGTTCAAGTTTGAAGAAAAAATTGCTTGATTGAGTTTCATTTCCTTTTTCATTTCACCGTTCACCTTTGTTCTAATCAACGATTTTGCCTGTTGATAATAGAGAACCGGAGATCAGTATTCATCAGCTTATGCCCAGCAATGTCATGTTTGTAAAGTCTATGGTGTAGTATTTACTTGCATAGGGAAATTTTGTGAAATATCGGTCAGAACGTTAATAGCCTCGCTTGTAGGAGAATTCATTATCCTTTCGGCAGCCTGGTGACTCAACTCTTGGAACTGCCATACTTTTAAAGCACCGATTTCATGACTAGTTTCCAATAAATGAGTTTGCAATTTATCTAATTCCTCTTGCTTATCAGGATACAGATTTCTAAAAGAATCACAGCCGCGCATAGAGACATTCTATCAAAATATACCGTACGTCGATGTTTTACGAGAAAATGTTGTTAGAAACACTCAAGATTAGATATGTAACCACCTTACTTTAAAGTCATAAAGTTTATTCCATCTATTTCTTCCATGCTATCGCTGGAAGTTTCAGAATCTTTGTCGGCATTATCCTTTATATCCGAATCGTCTGTAGCTTTGTATTCTGTCGATTTCATTTGCAACTCTACACCGTATCCCGATAAACGTACATTCTGTTCTGCTCTGTCCTATAAAACGTATATGGAAAAACGAATATCTAAATGATACATACGAGTTACAATAACCATTATAATGTATCGATGTACCTTTAAATAGTGTCGCAAAATATAAGTGAATCCTTTACTTTCTGCAAGATCTTTTAACTTTTCATGAAAAACTGAAAAATTTGGGGCCCCAACTTGACTGTATAATATAACAACTTTATCAGACTGTTGAGATGTACGATAGCGATGATCCACGCTGTAAGTATCAGGATTCAACCAAGTCTCCTACAGAACATATGCCTTGTTAGATACGTATAAATTCCATACACATAAGCAAGCATCCGATAAAACTATCTAATTATACTTTTTATATTATACAATTCTTACCCGATTAACTAATTCATCTAATTCTTCTGCAGAACATGTAAATTTTCCACCAATATCTACCACGTTATAACATCCAAACTTGGAAATATTCTTATTTTCAGCCATTTGGGTAAACATCTCCACACGTGCAGAATAAATGCGTAAAGACAATCCTAATTTAAGTAATGCTATTTCTGAAGACGATAAATATTTTTCAGCAAACTCAACAATAGAATTATAATTCTCTTTCTCCGTGACTATAACAAAAGACGTACAACAGAAGATATATACGATGCTATAAAATTTAGCTTTGACACAACTGAGATTAAAATTACCATTCCTGAAATCATTTTTGGCAAAAGTATCTATAAACTTCCAAAAATAATTTGGATTTTCATCGTTTAGATACTCTGCTGCTTCGAGCATCAAAGGTGTTTCTTTCCATTTCGCATCTATTAAGGTGGTCACATATTTATTAACCCTTTTATCCGCATCAAGTTGTGTCGTACACAAAAGCAGCAGATAAAATATTGTACTTGACCACATCTGTAAACAATACGAAGACTGTTAATGGTAATGTAATATGTATCAGAAATGTAGAAAAAAGAAAGATATTTAATTGGGATAATCGTAACGATTAACAATATTTTTGCGTAAAGGTATCATTGTTCTTCGAAAAATTTAAATTTGAAGAAGGAAACTTATAAGATTTATCAACGAACGAGGGGCTTCCGATAAATTTGTTACATTGGTTGCACGAGGAAACAAACGTCACGTGAGAAACATTTGCGTTAAGTACTACTTTAAGATTATAACAATATCGTTACTGAAGTTTTTAGAATAATTTGAGATTCGATTAAATCGCTTATTATAACGTTAAATTGTTTGAGCAAAGTAACTAGCTTGAATGTGTACGATCGACGGAAATGAATGAAAGTGATAGAAATAATCTGTAAATTCGAATATTAACAGTAACGTGATACTTGGAAAAGAATAGCTTGATATGACTTACATACCTTCAAATTTGCAATAGAAATTATGTTAACGGAGAAGAATCAAGTAACATCAACAGCCAATCCATGCATTGCACGTGCCGGTAAATACCGCACTGGTGAAGAGAAACAACTCTACGAGTTTACACGTATATATAAATACAGTATTGCCCCCATAACTTCATGAAACTCTCGGCAGGTTTGGACTGGTTTAGAGCGAGACGTTCGAAAGTAGCGGAAGCTGTTTTTCTTTTCCTTTCATTGGTCGACACTCGTCGCGATTCCTTTTTCTTGAAAACTTGCCGGATTGCGCCGCTGAACAGAGGGAATAGAAATAGGACCTTAATAGAGTTGCAAGAAAGTCGAATCGTAAAGATAATATTATTCCAAATAAACTTACGATCACGCGTATCATATGAAATTCGCAATCGTATCCACGATTTACTAGTCGAATAATTAGATTACTATCGAATAATCATCCAATTTATGCGCCTAACATACACATGATTTCAACATACATTTCAAGTAACGTACTTGGCGTGTACATAGGTACTCATGTTTCGCTCATCACAAATCTCAATTACTTAACGATTCTAATAGCAATCTAAACAAAGAATTTATTACTTATTAATTGTACTCTATATAAAAAAGCAGTACTGCATCATGACTATAGTAGATTATGTACAAACATTATCTGACAATCCTTATTTTGGAGCTGGTTTTGGCCTCTTTGGGTTAGGAGCTGGAGCAGCTCTGTTGCGAAAAGGGGCACAAGCAGGAATGTTGTTGTTTAGGTAATGTTATTTTAATAACTGTAGCTTAATGAATACTACCTGCTGAGATGAAGTTTTCTAATATATATGATTTTCTTGGAATACAGGAGACATTACATGATCACTTTGGAAGTTCCATGCCGTGACAAAAGTTATCAATGGCTTTTACAATGGATCACGTATAAGGGTGCAAAGAGAACGCAACATCTATCGGTCGAGACAAGTTTCGAGCAAAGAGAAACAGGTCACATAAAAACTAGATATGATTTCATACCAAGTATTGGAACTCATTTCATTAGGTTAGAAGTACTTACCGCTTCAACACTTCATTTTGCAACAACGAGTACGAGACAGTTGCCCTATCATTCAAAGATTATAATAATTTAGAATTATTCCTTATGTAAAACATCTAAACAACGTACAATTGTAATTGTTCCTAATCTATCTTTCAAATTAATAGGTACCAAGGGAATTGGATAAGAGTGGATCGCACGAGGGAACAGCAAACATTAGATATACAAATGGGCATACCGTGGGAAACGGTTCAACTGACAGCATTTGGAAGGAATAGAAATATATATTTCAGTATTTTAGAAGAGGGTAAACGCTTATTTACATGCAGGTGTGCTGAAAAACAATTTAATAGAGCTCGAAACTTTCTTTTACTACAGCCAGACAAATGGCTTTGAAGGAACACGAAGGCAAAACAATAATGTATACTGCCATGGGAAACGAATGGAGGCAATTTGGACATCCTAGAAAAAGGAGACCAATAGATTCGGTTATTTTAGATAACGGTGTCGCCGATAGATTACTGAATGATTGTCGTGAATTTATAAACACCCCTGCATGGTACAGCGATCGCGGTACGCAATCAGTAGAGTAGGGTATAAACGCCGAACAAACAAAATACAATCAATCCCTTAATTTCAAAGGTATTCCATACCGTCGAGGATATTTACTATACGGTCCTCCTGGCTGCGGTAAATCGTCATTCATTACCGCTTTGGCTGGAGAATTAGAACGGGGTATTTGTGTGTTAAACTTGTCGGAACGAGGCTTAACGGATGATAGATTAAATCATTTATTAGCTATGGCTCCACAGCAGACCATTATACTTTTGGAAGATATCGATGCCGCTTTTACCAGTAGAGAAGAGACTAAAGAGGGTAAAGTATGAACTTAAACTATGGATGGATGGTGTTTCTGCAATTATGTAACTCATCTGTGTATTTTATTATAGTGAAATCTGCGTACGAAGGCTTAAACAGAGTAACATTCAGCGGTTTATTGAATTGTTTGGATGGCGTTGCTTCCACGGAAGCGAGAATTTTGTTTATGACAACCAACTATTTGGAAAGACTAGATCCCGCGTTAGTTAGACCGGGACGGGTAGACGTAAAGGAATATATAGGTACGAAAATACAATTGAATGCCGTTGTATCCAAACAAGAGAAACATTATGCACTAGCATCATGTACTTGACTATACATGTACATATTTTTTTCAGGCTGGTGTAGCGCTACACAAATCGAACAGATGTTTTTAAGATTTTATAAAAATAATGGAAGCAAAGCAAACGAATTAGCTAAAGCATTCGCAGAAAACGTACTATCGCAGAAGAGAAACATCAGTCCAGCACAAATTCAAGGAATCTTTATGTTTTATAAAAATAATCCAGATGATGTATTAAGGAATGCTTCACGTATATTGGAACTTACGTGATGGGAAAGATTACAGAGCAGAGAGTAACCATGATGGAAGTAGTATTATCAGGCTTTGGATTTAGCATGAAACTGGGAATTAAACTGGACTAGAAAAATACTTTTCATATGCGAAGGCGGAGAAAGAAATGGCAGAAATTACAGATCTCACAAGGTTACATGTTTGTATTAACAGCGCTGTACTTGCGCTTACTCGTTTGATCGTGGTTTTTCACATTTAAAATTTGTACAATATAAACTTAATGAAAATGTCATATAAAATGTTTGGTTTCACATTGTTCACTTTAATTATTACGTTACTATTGACATTGCGATATTTTAAGTGACGATCCGAAGATAAAATACATGATAGCAAAATAAACGTTGTATAATTTTTTTTATTCTCGACAATATATGTATATTCTTGACTGCATTTATTTATTTATTTATTTATTTATTTATTTATACGTGTGTATGTATGTACGTGTTTCATAGTGTTAACGTATTTTTTCACGTTCAACTAAATTTATTAATCAATATATCTCTCCATCCAAATCGTCAATTTTTAAAATCGACGAATTTGATTGATTAAATTAACTAAGATAAAATCATAGTTTACTTTGTAAGTAAATCGACATGTTTCTCCAATCAACTATCATGAATTGTTTGAAAATGGAAAAATGTTGGTGTCGAGGCTCGTGGTAGATTTGAAATTCGTCGAGAGCTCGACGTGTTTGCACTACGGCGTGCCAAACTAATTCCACGATAGACGCGAGGGACCACCTTCCTTTACGGGAAGGACAAAAACAAGCCATTTTCGTGGACGAGTTTATTTTACAACCAACGGTTCCCGCGAACCGTTCACAACAACAAGACGTTTCGAATTCGAGTCCCGATAGGTAGAAGATGACCCGAAGTGTCCTGACCGAACGTTCGAAGGTGACTCGTCTCACCGGCGTTCTTGCACCCCTGAGGAAAACGAATGTCGCTCCCTTCCCCGATGATTTTGGAAGGGGAACGACCGAGGAGTGGGTGCAAAAAGCCGGCGAGTATTTTACGGGGAGAGCCCAGGAAATCTCGGAACGGCGAGAAGTCCCCGAGCTACTTCGAGCCCATGCGCGAGTGCACAATGTCCCCGCGAGCGATCCTCCCCGCTGCGTGAAAATTTTCCTGGTTTATGGCAGGGACATCTCGAACGGAACGAAAATCGAAATTTCCTACCATAAAACCAGGCCCGTATGAAACCGCAACGGTTGCCTTTTAATTCTAGGCGTTTGAAAATGTTCGACACTTAGAAACTCCATATGTAGGGCTCATAATTGAGAGGATCTGGTTGTTCCATACCGTGTCCAGTGTGATTATTACTTCCAATCATGCACGATGCATACGCAACTCCACCGGTGTTTCCTTGCCCCGAAACTGGTGGCACGATGCTCGGTGCTAACCGACAATCTGGCCTTTGTTGCATCATAGGACCCATTGGTTGCATCGTTTGAGGGTCTGGTGGGGGACCCGGTGGCGGTGGTTGTGACGGGACAAGACTAGGAACAGCTGTAGGAATATTGTGAACGGGCTGCATTATATTAGGACCTGAAACATAGTTTGCCACTAAAAAGTGGTTTCCGAAGTTATCCACTAATCTTTTTCCAAAGAGAAACGGGCTACTACAGATCAATATCACAGCTTACTTGTCGTTGGATTATGAAAAGGCAAAGCTGTTTCCAGTATCATAGTTGTCGGTGGTGCAACCATCTTTATCACGGTAGACTCCGTTTTTCTCTTCTTGGTGGACGTTCGCTTTTGCGTGCTACCCGACATTTGATCGCGTTTCTTATTACCGTTCAGCTTCTTTTTCTTTTCACCGAGGATTTTCGGTTTATTTGGCCGATTTCCGCTAGGTTGCCATAGGTGTACCGTATGAACAGTATTTCCTTCTCTGAAACGATTCAAAGCTCGATATCGAATATCGGAAGATTCCTATTTCGTTTATGCTTACCCTTGTTTCTTTCCGAGTTTCCAACTATGAATTCCAGCTTTATGAAGCCGTTCTCTGATGGTGTCTACGCTACATTTCAATCCAAGAGCGGGCGCAACGTGTTTAGCTGCGGTCAAAGGCTGCTGAGTAGCCATTGCAATGATAGCTTCGTCTTCTTCTTTGGTTGTAATTCGACGACGACCTTTCCTTTCCTTCGTTTGTACATTACCTTCCTTGTGCCAACGTTCTAACCATCTTTTAACGGTACGTTCCTATTTAAGAACGAGTATTAGATAAACGGCTATCCCGACGATGATCGTAATCGTGCGAATCCATCGAAACGAATATGTTCCTTCTTACCGATCTGTCGATTGCGAGCGCGATTGACAATGTCGACAAGCCAGCTTCGGACATGCCAATCATACGATTTCGAATTTCGACGCTTGTTTCCAGTGTCCCTTTCGCTTTCCCGCCTTTCTTTTTTCGTTCTTGCGCGTCACTTTTTTCATTACATTCTTTCGACGAGCGTTTCTTCTGGTTAGATTCCTCACTGGAAGGCTGATCGTTCTCTTGAGAACCACAGGTACTTGAACTGTCAGAATTTAGGTTTGCATTAGTTTGCAAATGAACAATTTGCGAATGTAAATGGTCCTGATGATGTTGCTGTTGCTGCTGCTGTTGCTGCTGCTGCTGCTGCTGCTGCTGCTGCTGCTGCTGCTGCTGCTGCTGCTGTTGTTGTTGTTGCTGTTGGTGTTGAACTCGACAAACTACGTCGAGTTGCCGTTGCTGTTGATGATCCAGATTATGCACTTCATCCGGAATTGTCTGTTGTACTTGTTGTATATGATGCTGTTGTTGCTCTTGTCGAGTACGTAATTCTTGAAGTTGTTGCGGTAATGCTTGTTCATGGGGTATCGCATCAGTTTGACCCTAAAAATTCGGGGAACAATTAAAGTTGAATGGCTACGAACAACTAGCCGTGTACGTCGTGTAAGATACAACTTACAGACCTGTGGATAATGATGCGTTCCTTGCACTAAATCTAGCGGCCAACTTTGAGAAACATTCAAACCGGGATGTTGATAAACGGGATGCGTTTGTTGTACAAGACTTAATGGATCACCGAATTCCGTTTGGCTCGGAGGTAAGGATTGGGACGGCGCTTGAATATTACTAGTTTGCGGTTGAGGAGCATTTTGTTGTGAGAATACAAATTGTTGCTGTTCGTTCGCGTCTTTTGCATTTTCTATGAGTGTAACATCCACGATGTACACATCTTTGCCCTTGACTTTTCGAGGAGAATGTTCCTTTTTAACAGTGCCATTCTTATCGCTCTTGCCAGAATCTTTGGAAAACTTTTTTTTTCCTAACTGTGTTCCAGTGGGCCTCCATACAGGTTGTTGAATAGCGGCACCACCTGCATCTCTAAGAAATAAAGGAAACAATTATCTTTCCTCGTTGAAACGCGAATGTATCGGTGCCCATTGATAATAGATGAAACAAGACCACGAAATATACCCAAGTGGAATTCCTTGCATATATTTTCTCGATGGACTCCAGTTATGTATACCAGCCTTGTGTAGCCTTTCCCTTATCGTATCGACCGAACAGGTAAGTCCCAAAGCTGGAAGTACAGCTTTCGCAGCCGTAATCGGTGTCTGTATAGCTAACTTTACTATCGCTTCATCTTGTTCAACCGTCGTGGCCCGTTTACGTCCACATCGTTCTCGTGTTTCCACAGTGCCTTCTTTGTCGAATCTGTTTAACCATCTCTTTACGGTACGTTGCTGAAACGATAAATTGTGATAAAAATGCGAACGAAAGCTGAAAAATGAAAAGTGGAAAATGAAAAACGAAAATACGAGAAAGGAAGAAATTTATGAATAAAAATCGTTGTATACATATAGTATTACCGATTATGCTTTTTAAAAAGAAAATATACAATTACAGGTATGATTAAGTTGTTCAGCTAAACTCACAGAACAATTGACAGCCGCCGCGATTTCTCTCAAGCCTAGACCGGCTTCGTACATTCCTACCATACGATTTCTTAATTCTGGTGTAGTCTCGTGCACTCCTCTTGTTTTTCCCATTTTTATTTGATTCTAAGTTGACTTACCGAGAAGAAGGAACGACAAAAGAAAATAGTGAAAAATTTTAAATTTTACGCGAAAACTGACGTATAAAAAGAATAGACCACGTGACAATGGCAGTACTCTATCAAAAAGTTTTTGAAAATTTAATTATTTTCGTGTAATCATACTTTCCGTCTGTCGCGAAATCTTCGAACTGGAATGATCCACCAAAGCATCTTACTTAACAATTTAAGTTTCACTGGGAACTGTAAACACTTTTGAAATGGTATTGTTTTTTCTTCGCTTTTGACATTACGCGATGTTAGATACTTTGGGAAAGCCGAAGAACTTGTGGCGTCGAGGGAATGGAATTGGCTGATTTATCATGCTCGATTTTGGTGGAAAAATTCGTTTCGTTAGCTTTCTTCCTTCGATAATCGTTTAATCGGCGTGAAAACGCGTAAACGCGAGTTTACGTTTCTTCCGCGGAGACACTTTATACGTTTCGTTTCGGCCAAAATGCATTTACTCGAGGAAAACACTGTAGTCAATACAACTTCGGCTGTACAGTCCATCGATGTTCTTTTGTCCACGCTTGGTTCCTCGTAAACTTGTAACATCCATTTAAACATTGTTCCAGAGTAATCCGCTTTCGACGAAAGACATTTTAAAAGTTCTCGTCGAGTCGTAAAGATCGTCGTTTAAGACCCGAAACGGTAATTTTCTCTCGAAAAGTTTCGTAAGAACGGGTCGGCTTTCGTCAATACTAACACAGTGGACTGTACCATATCGTCGAGCGTACAGTCCGCCAAAATCTTTTCGCCTCGGTCGAATCCATCAAATTCGTTTCGTACGAGCATGACGAAACGAAACGAGACTGAATGGGGTACGAAGCGAAACGCATAATCCGTAAATATGCTGCATTTGTCCGAAGCAACAGTCATTCTTTCTTCGGAGCTTTCGAATCATCCGACTGTAAACATACGAGAAGTAAAGGTACGGTCGATAAAAAGGTTATGTCCAACGAAAAATTAGTCACGTGACCGTTCCGTTTCGCGACGAAAGGTCCGACGGAATTGGAAAGATTTCGTCGAATCGACGCCGATTTCGCCGCAGATCGATCGCATTCGTTCGAATCGCGAGTGATTCGCAATAGGAGTTGTCCTTGAAGCAAACGCGATTACAACGAATAATTTGAAAGGGCGACTGTACTCTGGACGAAAGCGGAGTTTCATTCGGCCATGTTCAGCCAGCTTCGACGGAATTGTATTGACCCGCGAAATCGTTTATTCGAAATATTGATAATGCCTCCTCCCTAGATTCGAATCGGACGGGCAACGTTCTCGCAACCGCGTTCTCGCTTTACGAACCGAGAATTTGATTAATTTCGCGAATCAGTAGGATAAAGAGTGGGCGCGCGAAACAGCCAAGTGGAAAAACGTCGACGATTGAAATATCCTTTCGAGCTATAAAATCAATTTGGATTCGAGAGTTTTCGAATGCGAAGACTTGTTCGAGGATCGTTTCGAACGAGGTTATAGTTGTTCGACGATTCGCAGGTTACGCGGTTACGAATTAACGACAGCGGAACAAGGTACTTGAATCGGCTGGCCGACTGTACGTGGCGGAGATGGGCGGGTGTACGAAGGGTTGCCGGATCGCAGGCTGTTGCAACATCCGACAATCAAATCTGGACGTAGTGTGAGTACGTTGATGCGCCCTGCGCTCTGCGCGCCGCGCGCCGCCCGCCGCGCGCGCTGCACCCTGGCCTAGAAAGAACCGACTGTCGTCCTCTGTTCTCGCGTTTGAACGGTCGTTTCGTAATATTCCTCTGGTATGCAACAAGTAGGCAATTGTTCGTCTTAGTCGTTTTAGAGTTGGGGAAAGATTGAGAGGGAAATTTACGGAGAAATTTCGATTCGGATTGGTGTTGAGCTGCACGCGTGTTAACGGAGGTATATGTATCTGGTTTGTCGCGGTGCTCGGAGCGGATTTCATTCAGTCGCGCCCTCGCGTTTGTCGAGCAGCTCCGAGTAACGCGTCGCTCGGCTCACCGGAACAGCACCCCCGACGGCACCGACACTAATCGAACCCTGCGTCTCCGTAAAGATCCCAAGAAAAGCCTGCTCTCTGGTTGTTCCGTTTCAGAGGTTCGCGGATCAACGGTCTGCCGTGGTTCGGTAAACGTTTCTCCTCTAATCTCGCGTATTTTCCCGATAGGAGGATCCAAACGAACGTCAGTGATGAAGCTGTTGTTGGTTGTCGTACCTTTGCTGGTTCTCTGCTCGATCCAGCCGTTGATCGTTCGCGGGGTACGTATTACCGTTTCACGTATTCGTCTTCTCGGACGGTCGGCTTCTCGAGTGCCGTGTCCATCTTTCGCCTCTGTTCGTTGCGAACAAAGAGAATCGCAACCGATCGAAGGGTCGAACGATCCTCGATTGATGGACGTTCCGTTGACCGGTCCGATAGGAGGAAAAGGATTCTCTTCGATCGGATCGTTCGATTTCGCCCAACGAGCAGATACATTGTGTCGGGATATTTTCTAGACGCGACCGAGATTCGTCTCCGACAAGATGATCGCAACCGCGGCCGGTGTGGTGAACGCCTGCCAGACTCAGACCGGAGTAGCCACAGGTACGCGCGATCGGATCGCGATCGAACCAATCTCCTACCGCGTCGTCGATTCGATCGTCATCGAGCATTTCTCGTTTCCGTTTCAGTGGACATAGAGGCGGTTAGAAACGGAACTTGGCCGGAAACACGGCAGCTCAAGGTAAACGCGGAGACTACGCTATCCAGAACCAGGGGACACGGAACAAACCTATTAACGAGTTGCCGATTTTTTTCTTTTCACGACGCAGTGTTACATGTACTGCCTGTGGGAACAATTCGGTCTGGTCGATGACAAAAGGGACCTCAGTCTGAACGGCATGCTCTCGTTTTTCCACAGAATACCAGCCTACAGAGCGGAAGTTCAGAAAGCGATCAGCAAGTGCAAGGGGATCGGTAAATATTTTGGTATCTACCGTGTATTTAATATTTTCATCTTTTCATTTTGTTCGATCGATCCGCGGCCACCGTGAAGTTTCTCTTCGAAACTTGTTCTGCTCGCTTAACGCTCTTTTCACGCTCGCGGCGTACTTCCGATTGGACGCGGTCGATCGAATTGAAAGAAACGGTTCGCAGGCTAATTACCGACCATCTCTTTTTCCCAGCAAAAGGAGACAACTGCGAGTACGCGTACGTGTTCAACAAATGTTACGCGGAATTTTCTCCACGGGTGAGTAACCAATGACTCCTGCTCCGCTCGATCTTGTTCTTCTCGCGTGGCTACGGACTCTCGCCAAGGTGAAAAATCGGCTGTCGTTTCTCTGTTTCAGACCTATTACCTATTTTAAACGACTCGACGCGAAAACGGATATCGTCGAACGCGTCGTCGCGAGCTTTTCCGCCGACTCGCTTTTCGCTTGACCGTCTATTCAAACTGTACTCGTATCTATGTAATTCCATAACCGTTTCGTACAAAACCATAATAAAAGAAACTCTCCGCAACTGTGTCGGGTCGATCAAATTTTTCGACGTAGGAATATTCGAATCGAGGTCGTGAGCGAACGCGACAGCGGCAGCCCCGTTGGAAATAGAACGGGCGAGTTACCGTCATTCGTTGATTGATTAATCGCGCATCTACGCGTGCAAATTACTCGAGGATGGGAGAACGACTCGTACGGCCGATGTTGCTCCGGGGGTTACCGATTTCCGATCGACATCCTTCGAATAACGCGGTCCGTTCCTCCTTATCGTTGCGTAAACGAAACGATCTGCAATTAAGAGAACCGGAATCCGGTTCGCCTGTAATTTGAACGCGTTCATCCCGAACCACTGTTGCAGTCGTAGGATCGATTGGTCGGACAACCGCAACTTTTCGCGAATGCCACTTTGTTGGGACGCGACAAAGGAAGTTCGCTAAACGTTTCAATTAAAGCGCTTACGATTCCAGGCGGGTATCGTCGTTAAACGTGTACCACCGATCGCGTGTCGCGCCGATCAGCTCTGATCGCATCCTTGCGAGATAGTTATTAATTACCCTCTGTTCGTAGAAAAGGAAACGCGCGGCCGGCTTTTAGCTTGCCGTTTAAACGGCCAATTACTGTTTTCCATTTGCAGCGAAAACCATGTCCGCGCGTCTATATATTCGGCTCGTCGACGCGAGAGCCGTGTACAGTGCGTTTGGTCTCTGCGCGTCGAGTTGCTTCGTTGTTTCGCGAACGCGTCTGAATCGTCCAAGTTCCAAGTATGAAGCTCGCCACAGAGGTTTCCTCGATTCTCTTCTGCGTCTTGATCTCGCGGTTCCTCCTGATTCACGCCGAAATGGTAAGTGCAGCTTACGTATTTTTACGCTTCCGAAGATTCTCTAACCGTACACGTCGATGGCTCGCGCGAGACAGGTGACCAAGGAAGACTTCAAAGAAATGACAGCTGCGACCAGGAAGAAATGCCTCGCCGAAACTAAAGCGACCCTTCGTAAGCGAAACACCTCTCGCCTCGTCGAGATTACTGGAACGATGCTTTCCGCGAATTTAACTCTACTCGTTTCAGAGGCCGTCGAGGATACGGAATACGGAGAGTTTCCAGACGACGATCGGTTAAAGTGTTACTTCAAATGCTGCCTCGAAAAGTTTGGCTTGGTAATACGAATTGCTCTCCCTTTTCTCCCTACCGTTACCGATGCTCGTTTCGTCTTGTTCGGCAGATGAACAGGAAGAGCGGCGAGATCAAGTATAATTTACTGAAAACAGCGATACCGACCACTTACAGACAAGTCGTTAGCGGTATGATCGACAATTGCACCGACATTGGTGAGCATGGACGCGGTTACGTTTAATCGATACGCTCGATCCTTGCTAACCCATTGATTTCCAGGCGGGAACGATAACTGCGAGAAGGCGTTCAATTTCATGCAGTGCATGTACGATCAAAACTCCATGGTAAGTCGACGCGAATACAAGAGAAACCTCTCGGGAAGAGTTCTCTCGATTCATCTCGTATCTTTCCTTAGTACTTCATAGCCCCGTGACTGGTTCGGACGATAACGCATCGAAACATTGGACTCGAACATTGCTAATGGTTTAAGGGAATTCCAACGTTTGAATCTTTAATTAATGGTCGATTAGAAAGCGTACAAGGGTACATTGTGTTGGATTTAGTGAAATAAAATAATGCTGATCCACATAAAAGTTGCACAGTGATTTAGTCAGAACGAATTCCGGTGGTGACACCCGAGCAAATCCGTCGCAGATGTATTTGTACATTATTTCCGATATTTACACCGCGAATCTCGTCTAGATTCGCGAGGCTATCTTCTCGAGTAATAAAAACAACGATTCGAAAACGCAAACGACAACGACAACGACAACGAAAACGAAAACGAAAACGGAAAGAATAAGAAAAGGAAAACGATCGATTACGTTTTCCGCGGCTTGGTTTTCCTTTTGTTAATGTTCATTATTTGCTCGACGATGATGTCGTCCGCCCTCGGATCGATGGGAACAGCTTGAATCGGGGTTCGCGAACTCGCGGCTGGTTTCGAGCGTCTCTCGATCGACGCGTTCAACCATGTCCAGATCTTTTCACGGTTGAGAAACGCGAACGCGATCAGCATTATAAACGGTAACGCGATCACGGACGTTTGATTCATTTCGCTCTGATCGATCTTTCGTTCCGCGTTGAACGTTAACTTGACGTGTTTGAACGACGAGTTCGCTTCGAAGTAGAATGGAACGGTTCGGTACTTGTGCATCGTCTGGGGGAGAGACGACTCCAGTTGCACGAAATATTTCTTGCCGTCCGCCTGCAACGGTGGCAGATGCACCAGAAATCCGGCGTTATAATTGCTACCGATCTTGCTCAACTGCTGCCCCTCCAGTTTACTCGTGTGAATCGGCGAGTCCGGCATGTCCTCCCTGCACAGCTTCACCTTCAGCGTGCGGTAGTGTTCCGGCTGCACCGATACGACGTGCACGGAAACGTCGGTGCGCGATATCGGATGGAACGCGATCAATCGTAGACCGTGAATGTCTTCCGAGATCTGTACCGGTATAGAATCGGGACTGGTGTGGTGGATGTGCGCGTTAACCTCCGCGTTCGGCTTCAATCGAAACACGTACGTACACTGGGAAACGAATGGAGTTCCTTAGAGAAACAATCACGACGGTGGTTCCGAAGTTCGAACCTTGCTTACCCTCGGCTGAAGTCCTCTGATCCGGAAGTTTCCGTTTTCCTCGGTGGTTGCTTCTTCTTGAAGATTGCTACACTCTCCCTGACCCTGTACCTCCATCAGCAAACCAGCCTCGGGCTTTCCGTTCAAAGACGTTACGGATCCGTAAGCGCTGAAAGCGACTCGTTTACCGTACAGCTTCACCTTCACGGTCGCGCCTTCCGTCACTTTGATCATTTTCGATGGAGGATCGAAACGGTATTCCTTCATCATCGGTCTCAGATAATACTCCCCGGGAGACAACGAATTGAAAATCAACTTGCCCTCTTCGCCGGTGACGCTGTTCTTTCGGTAACTTTGTCCGCCGGACAGAGAAAGGAGGACGCCCTACCGGAGAAACATGTTTCTTTGATCTTTCACCGTTTCGAGGAAGAATCGCGTCGATTCTGAACGGAAGGATTTTCTCGCGTGGCGTCGTACCTGTAAAGAGGTGTTGTCGGCTTGATCGGAAACTTGAACGATTATCTCGGCCAACTTGTGCGCCAAGAATACTCCGCTGGTATCCGGTCCTGTGATCACGAATCCGTCTTTCTCTGCCGTGATTCTGATGGAAAGAGAAACGGCGATTACGGTAACGGATTGGACGATACAGATCGGCCGGTAAATGGTCTACCTGTAGTCTATCTTTCCATCCAAAGGACCGACACTGTACGTCCCATCCTTTTCCGTGACCAACGTGTGCATCGGAGAAGTATCGTCGTTTCCGAACACTTGTACGGTAACACCTTCCAACGGTGGAACGATCTTTCCTGCAATGATCTACGCGACACGCGTGCAACGCGCGCTCGTTAGAGAACCGGAACGGAATAGTAGTCTACCGCGTACGAAGTTCAGCGCGCGCGCTCTTACCTTTCCCAATTCGCCGATAAACGAAGCGACATCGTTTTGACAATCGTTCACTGCCAACACTTTCAACGACGGAGGATTGAACAGAAGTATATTCGACAGCGGCGTTATCGTGTAAACGTTGTCCGTCTTTGCCTTAAATTCAAACTCGTACTTGTACAAGTGCTCCTCTTTCACAGGTTTCAACGGACCCAATCTGCCGATCAAGAAATTCGATCAAATTCGTGCAGTGCGTAGACGAGTTGTTTCGGTTGTACGTAGTATCGTGTATGCCTCTTACGTAATAATGTCGCCCGCACTCTCGATATTCACTTTGACCCCGTTCAACGAAGAAGTACTCTGAATGCTCCCCCTGTGGCTATGTTCGGTCGAGTGTAATAATATAGGGGAGAGACTGTTGGTGTCCCACCTGTACGACGTTCGTTCGTACACGTGGCAACCTTTCGTAGTGAACGAATATACACCAGGCTTCGACACGCAATGCTTCGTGTTCCCTTTGTTCAAAACTAACGTTAGTTTGGTCGCATCGCCGGGTTCTGAATATCCTACCGTGGTGTCGTGAGAAGAAATGAAAGTAACGGAGAATCCAGTCTGTACGAAAGCTGGCACTTCCGCGCGTTCCGAGGTGACCGAAATCCTGTAACTAGGATTTTCCCAACAGAACACATCGTTGTCTATCAGTACCTCGTAATGACCGGGCAACACGTCCGAGAACCGATACTCGCCATCTGTCAGATGAAAAACAACTTCACGAGCAAACGGAAAATAGTATTCGACCGAACGAATGTCGGGTATCGCTGCGACAACAGAGACGCGCCAGACCGTTTCTTCCTTTACGGACACCGTGCACTGTCTTTATTCCGTTTCGTTTCATTGTTAATTTCACCGGCAGATACGATTCGCGGTTCTGTTATCGCAGAAACTTTTTCCAAAAGTATACGGCGATTAAGGATAGCAGTACTGTGTTACGATCTAAGAGAGATTCAAAAATCCTACCCTTCGATTGTATCGTTTTTATGGTGACCCCGTCTAGTACCTTCAAAGTAACGGAAGCCTGGCTGCAATCGGTTCCCGACAGACACTTGACCGTGCCCGACAGCGTCGCTTTCAATTGTAAAAAGTTTACGTCGGCCACCGGTCGAGTCGATACATCGATTGTCTGTTGCAGCGGGAAAAATCTGAAAATCATTTCACGATCGCAAACAGGCAATTGATAATAGTCAATGTTACAAAGATGATACTCCGATCGACTCACTGCAGGCCTTTGTCTCTTTCTTCATTACTGACGATCACGCTTAATTGATATTTGTCGGGTGAGAGATAGACGCAGAATTCTCCGGTCGTTGGATCCGTTTCGATCTCTTTGTGAAAACTGGCGGCAGTGTTTTGCGCGGAAACCCTTCGATGATGCAGCGTTCCTTTAGCCGATAAGGTGACCTTTCCGCAAACTTTATAAGCCGACGGTGTTAGAACAGCCAGTTCCGAAGAGCTCGGAGAGATTTTCACAGACTTCTCGATGAAAAGCATATCGTCTAACGATAAACAGAAGAGAATCGCGTAATCGCATTAAGACCGAAACAGTGGATTCGGAGCGGGGCAACAGCCAAGGAAATGGGAGGCGCGTACCTGTTTCCGCTTTCAACGAATACTGTCCAGCTTTCATGTTGTCTAGCACGTACTTGCCGTTCGCATCCGACGTTGCAACTTCTTTTTGCGACAAGAAGATTTTTGCGCCCGGCAGAGGATCGCCATCGATTGCCGTACGAACGAATCCGTATACCGTAAACCCGGTTACCTTGAAGCCTAGTCGTAATACGACGCTACTATGGTCTACTTTAAAATTCAATTCGCTGGGTTGAACGTCGAATTTGGTTTGGCCACCGGCATAGTATGGAACCAATTTATATTCTCCGGGCGACACGATTGGAAACACGAACTTGCCATTCCTGTCGGAAACGACATGGCAAATAGGGTTTCTCGACTGAAGCTCTTTACTTATGGCTGTGGTAGTGCAATTTTTAGCCGATCCGTTCTGAGCAATCAACAAACAGAACGAATACGATTAATTACGCGAGACGAGTCGAGCTTTCAAGAGCCATGGGGAGACGAGAAGAGCGAACCAATTCTTACCCCGAAGAGTATAAACGTTACTCCACTGACCGGTTCCTCTTCGCTGGTTACTCGACCGCTCACGTCGTAACCGAAAACTACTAAGCTACCATCCGGAAGTTCCGTATTGCCTTCTCGGACTGTTACAGTGACAGTGTTCTTTTCCATTGCCCATCTAAAAACAAGTGGAAGGACAACGTGTACGTAAATCTGGTTTAATTCGCATACCGCGTCGACACTCACATTGGATGCGACGCGACGAGTATGTATCTTCCAGGTTGTATGGGCGTGAAATAAAACGTTCCTCCGTCCGCTGTGAGCGTCGTTTCTGCGGGAACTTGTTCGTTATCCTCCTTATACAAAGCTACGGTTACACCTTTCGGTCCATAATCCGATCCCAAAGCGGCAACCTAATCGGAGCATAGACTTTTGTAACACGCGTAAACACAGTTTCTGAAGTGTGCCACTATGTGTACCAAGCGTTTGTAATGTACCTTGCCCGTGATACCGAATCCTTTGAAAGTAAAATTTATGTCTTTCCCTTGGCTACAAGCATCGGACGTCCCATCCACGTGCAATAAAACTTCCATCGGATCGAAGCTCCATCCTCTAGGTGGATCTACCTAAAATAATTTGCCGTACAGCATTTACAGCTTGAAAGTATTTTTACGAAATATCGTTTAAAGCAATTTTCCCGATCAAGTTTTGCATTACCTTCAGAACGTACTCTCCTTTATCGTACAAAGGAAGAAAATAATATCCATTGTTTGGAGCACATTCCGTAGAGTCTTTGAGGCTCCCAGCTTTCGTATATCTAAATTGAGCAAAGAGTTAAGTCATCTTTCGAAAGTCGTTTAGATTCAAAGTGCTTAGATCGAGCAGTGTGCTGCGACTATAATGTCAGGTTACTTACAGTTTGATTTGAACTTTGGCAAAGTCGATGTGCGCGTGACTTTTCAAAAATCCTCCGCATCCTAAAATATCTTGAGTATTGGAAACTGTTATCAACGCGTACACGTGAAATAAATAAAGAAGAATCTTTCGTGTCATGTTCGACTATTAGAATCCACGTTCATAGGTAGGTGTCCGCATCCCTAATGAAGAACAGCGAGCCCACTTTGAGAAACGGACAACGTGACACGCGATCGCAGTCGTAGCGACAGCGTGGCAGTGGCAAATACTAAACGAGGGTCAAACGAATACGGTCGATAACTTAGCATTCCGCAGTTTCCTGCATCCTCGAACATCGTTGCCAAGAAACGAAAAGAACAAACTGCATCGGTTTCAAAATCCATTCGAATTCTCCATCGACTTTGCCGTGCTCGCGACGCATCCGTTCCATTAGCATTAAGGACGAGAGTATGTACGATCACGCTTATACGCAATGCATAGAATATTTGCAAGTTATAAATAAAGCTGGCATTTGCGCGTGCGCTCTGATTTCGGGTTTGTAGTTTTCGTTGCGAAACGTTCGGAATGTATACACGAGTTGGTTTTGCTCGACCGTAATTTGACTGGAAATCGATAGCCGTGAACGTTCTGCCAGAAAGGTTTTCTTCTTTCGATTCCCCGGTAGTTTACTCGAGGTGGTTCCCGAAGATTCGCATCAAAGATCAACAAACGGATATAACCTCGAATCAACAGAACATTTCTTCATTGGCAGATCTAACGCACGTTGATAACCGAACGGTAACGTACCACGTTCGCGTACGTGTAAATCGTGTAATAAACAGAATCGAATTAGGAGAAGGTCGGTAAGAAAATGGTGAAAATAGGGTTAGAAATAAAGGTTACGTTGGAAAACGTGGAAGAGCTGGGGCCCGCGGGGCTTGATTTCCGATGGTATCTCAAGTTCACTTGCTCGAATTGCCGCGAAGTATCGGACAAATGGAATTACGTGTCTCTGAGCGAAACTTTCCCAGCTACGAAAGGCCACGGCGTCAATCATTACGCGAGCAAATGCAAACTCTGTTCCCGCGAAAATTCAATGACTATTTTGGAAGATTTTGTGAAACCTTTTGTAGCCAGCGATCAAGAGAACTTTCAGACAGTGGCGGCATTCGATTGTCGCGGTCTCGAACCGTGCGATTTCTCGGCAAGAAGAGGATGGGTCGTCAAAGCCATCGACAACGGCAGCACATTTACAGACGTGGATCTGACCGAGGGCGAATGGGCCGATTACTGTCAAAAGATCGAGAAGCCTGTATCGATTTACGAGATCGAGCACAGGTTCGAAAGAATGAAATAAGAAGGATCCTACGCGTGAGAAAAACGGTTCGATCAAAAGTTTCGGAACAGCCCACGGTTGTACCTTGTCCGCGCAATTTTCTACACACCATGTACCAATGACGTTTATACTTGAATTACTTGGCAATAAAAACGATATAGCAATAGTAGAAAAATAATAACAAGTTGGTAAGTTGTCGTCGTCCTAAGACACACCGATCGATTATAATTCTCGGAGAAAACGATCGGAGAAAACGATCGGAGAAAACGATCGAATGAATGCGATACAAGTTTCCAACGACATAATATAATTTATTCGTAATCATATAAAAAAGGACCATTTAATCGAATAAATGGCTTGGTAGACAGAAAATATGCAACAATAATTTCGCACCTCCATCACAATAAATTCGCTTCGAGTTGCCGATCGTACCTTGCCCGTACGAGTAACCAACCGGGTGACTAGCATTGTATCTTGGCAGAGAAGAAAAGTTGACATTGTTGTCCGTCCATTTGCGAATACGATCCTATTTCTCTATTTCTCGAGTTTTCGACTTCTCGACTCGTCCTAGAGTCGAAGACTTTGGACAAAGCGTTCCGCGTAGCTTGGCTACCGGTTTTTCTCCGCTTTTCCATCACACTCTCCACGCCTTCGGAATGTGTCTCAGATACAACGTGTGTGATCAGCTAAAGCAACGAAAACCGGAATAATCGTAATTCGCGTTCACTTACGGTAATAAAAAGTAGACGTTCGTTCGGTCGAAAACTAAATATGTACATACACGCATATCGAGTATAAAATGTTGCGAATAAATTCACCTGAGCCTTGGCGGCGCCACCGTCAGACGGAAGGAAGGCGTTTCCCGCGCGTTATGGCGTTACGGCGTTACGGCGTACATTTGTATCTAAAGTTGGCCGAAGACGTTGCGATCACAGTTTCCAACAAAACGCGGAAATAAATCACAAGGGACGACTCGGAGAAACGATATCACGAAACTCTATAATCGATAATGTGCTATCTAGCGTTACTAATCGTCGCTATCGCTATCCTTCTCTAATATTTCCTTTACTACGGCCTCTAACATCTAACACAAATAAATATCGTGTGCGTATTACTATCTGTCGTTTCGAAAGAGCTATTAACGTATAAATCGCCCGTCGGGCGAATGATCTCGGGGTAATGCTATCAGTCTATTCTCGCAAAAGAATCACCGCGACTGAAAATCCTCTAATGCGTCTCGCGCGCGCACGAATTCCTCTACGAAGAAATTCGGGGGAAAATATCTCAACGAGCTCTCTAATTTTACGAATCGATGCGTATCGTGTGCTGGTTGCTAGCGTTGCTCCAACTAAACGGGTTCTATCCTGCTACCATGCTAGGACTAACATTATCTTTGGTATACTAACGGGAAATGTTCATTCCGCCGGCCGAGCCGACGACAACGTTTCGCCTTTAGTCCGTCGCTCGAGTCTGTTCGCTCCGGAAATACGAGTTACGCGTAGAAATAGGAACATTGCGAAATGCGAGTAAGAACGCGTCAACCGTCCAATTCGGGCCTCTCTCAATCATCGAGAATATAACGTTCAGGGTTCACGGTTCACGGTTCACGGTTCACGGTCCACGGTCCACGGTCCACGGTCCACGGTCCACGGTCCACGGTCCACGGTTCCTTGGAGCGTTCGTTCGAAAACAGTTCCGCGCGTCCAACTAAACACGCGAGAGAACAATGCCCAGAAAATATGCGACCTTCTTAATTTTGATTCTCTTACTGCGTAGACGCGGACAGAAAAATATAATACTATGTATCGATTGCCTCCTAACGGATAATGGAAATGGAAAATCGAATTTCCACACTTTGGTAGATAGAAATGGCGCGTACGAGTGGGAAAGGCATTTCACCGACGACCGCAGACGTATTGCTCGCGACGGGACGCGACCCACCGAAAATCGATTCTTTTCTCTGGCATTCGGTTCACGGCAACTGCTCGGACAGCACTGGTTCCAGGCAGGTTTGCTTCAGAGTCGCGGACTGATCCTCGAGACTTCGTTTCAACCCTTCTATCGTGTGCATCAGCATCTGCCTCCGAAGTTGCGACATTTGCTGCTGAAGGATCTGCGAGTCTTGAGCATCGGTGGTGGCCAACCGTTTCCGGCGAAGCTGCGCAACCTTTTCCTTCAACGATCTTCTCGAATCGTCTGCGCTCGAATTCGAAAATGCGTTCGGAGATTAGAAATACGTCTCGAATGTCGGAGGTGTTGCGACTTACCGGTGTCGTCGGTCGTCGTGTCGCCGTCCGAATTTCTCAAAGCCACGTGTTCTCCCAGGGTTTTCTGTATTCTGCCGTACGTCGAGCTACCCGCGTACACTTTCCTCTTGACCGGCTCGCTCTGCGGGCAATAGAAGGATCCTTCTTTCGTGGGTCCCATATCGACGGACCTACGAGAACGAAAACGAACGAACGTTTTGCGCGTGCACCGACATCGTTTGCAAACGGAGAGAACAGAGGAGAGTAGA